ATGGAGCTGCTCGAGGAGGAGGACCCCGACCGCTACCAGACGCAGTTCGCAAACTACATCGAGAAGGACATCGAGGCCGACTCGCTCGAGGAGATGTACCAAAAGGCGCACGAGGCCATCCGCGAGGACCCCGAGTTCACGCCGAGCGAGAAGAAGGACTCGTACCCGGCGGTCAACGACCAGCCCAGGAAGACGTACGAGGAGCGCAAGGCCAGCGTGGCGGCGAAGAAGGCGGCCATGAAGGCGGCGCTCGAGGCCGCCGAGGACGACGACGACGACTCGGAGGACGAGGATTAGGAGAGTACGTATTAGTGTGGTCCGTTGAAAACATCGCAAACCCTTGAAAACATCGCAAACCCGCATGGATTTGTCATTTGGAAGGGCTCGCGTGAATTCTTGTACTTAGCCGACGGACGTCCGCCGCAAAGCGCAATTCGGACAATGTCTGGTCCCAAAACGCGCCACATGAGTCATGGCTAGTTCCATTTCACTGTGGCACAGCTCGCGTTACAAAACCTTGATTTTGACCATTGCGCGACAAAGGTACATCTCGGTGCCTTCCAGAGGCAGCTGCGACCCCGCCGAGTGGACGGTAACGCACAGCAGGTGGCGCGGTGCGTTACCGTCCACTCCGCTGGGTCGCAGCTGCCTCTGCGCGGCCTGGGGATGTACCTTTGTCGCGCGCCGGAGACGACTCGACGCCGCTGAGATCGGAGATCAAGCTCTGACAGGTCGCACGTCGCTCCTTTGACGCCGACGTGACTCACCCGTGCAGATCACATCAGGACACGGTCTCGACACGCTCGGTACGACGCCTGCGACCCGTCTCGGGTCAGGTGGCACGACGCTCATCGCGCCCGCCAGCGCTGCCGTGCAGGTTGCCACGACGAGGTCGAGCACGCTTCTATACGCTCGCCCAGCCTTCCTTTCCATCCCATTAGGCAGCCTGGGAACGGTGGCGGTCAGAGGCAAAGCCTGCGAGGGGTGGTGGAACCACATGTCACGGCTACTGCCGGCTCGACCCCACGATAGCCTCCGGAGGCTGACTTTGAGGCACCATCATCGGACGATGTGACGAG